TATAACTCAATCCTGTATATACCTGAGTACTTACATGTATATGCATGAACTTACTGATATCGATCGTACTGGTCCTGTGCGGCACCGCGTGCTGTGCAGCTACCTTTTTATCTATTACAAGCAAGTTACGAAAGGTTTTCGTGCATCTCCCATGCATGATGTTCACGTGGTACCACAAAACGTAGAGACGATCAACTTGAAGATTTTATCAACAAATAATGGTAATGTTTAAAACAGATCTGCGTTACATGAGCTCCATTTATACAATAAATGTTGGGATTTATCTTATTTGGCGCATAAATTCTGATAAAAAAAAAAACAATGATTACAATAATAAACCGCATGCATATTAAAGTAATAAGCACAACATTCGAATCTAATATTAGCCATGATGCTGGCTAATTTAGTATGGATTATGTCTTTTCGGGAATGTCAGTAACCCCAAAGGTAGAATTATAGACAAAATTTTGTTACTGTGTATTACGTCAGACCTAACAATGTCAGAATGTAATCTACTTTGTCCAATTCGAGACAGAAATTGCATAAGTTTAAACAAAATTTGACGAAAAAATTAGATTCATAAAAATTTCTGACTAAATAAAAAAGTGGTGAAGAAGTAAATCAGGATAGTGCGAACCAGTTATTGCTATAACCGAATTAGACTTCAAATATATGATTTTCACTAATGTTGGTCTATGACCTTTATGACCTGTCATAGGTCATTTTGTCATAATGAGGATTGATATGACTTATGACCTTTTTTCTAATATAATAAGAATCATAGTAAAAAATTTTTTAATAGCATTTAATATTACCGATAGGACTGTGACCAAAAAGTCATATAGAAAAAAAATGTCATGAATTAGGTCATCGGTTAACACTAATTTCAACTAAACTTTACTTATTTGTTGCAAACCTAAAAAAGAACATGATAATTCTTGGTCTTTCATTGTGAACAAATGATCATTATTGTATTTCTTTTAAATTCATCAAGTTATATATAATTTTTTTTATGATATGTGCACGAAATAACAATCCAGGACGTTATTTCGAGATACATAATTAAAAAGAACTACGAATTAATTTAACTGAATGTGAATGATGATTTATGTTTTGAAACTCTTTGAATAATTTTAGCACTCTTTAAATTGTGTTTTAAAATAACGTTCCGGGCGTTATTTCGAGCAAATGTATAATGGTATTAAAATAAACTTGTGAAGATAATTTGAATTAAATTCAAAAGAATAGCATCTTTTTGAATAATATCCAAGTAAAATCGCCTTCAGGTATTCCTACACATTGCTTCCTGTGAAAGTTGCCGATTCAGCAATAGCAATAAAAGAATCATTTATGCATAATTAAATAGATATATAAACAAATAAATAAATAAATAAAATAAATAAGTACTTGAGAATCTTATGACAACATATATAATACAAGTGCAGCAAAAAAAAAAGCCAAGCCTCGGGTTCTACAATTTAATTGCACACCATACATCTCATGTCAGAGTTAAATAATAATTATTATCCGGCTGAGGCTGAAATTTGAGAGTTTTTTTTAACTTTTTTTTTTGTGGTTGAGTTAGTGTTTAGGTTAAAATGGATAATTAAAGTAATTATGACAGAATTTAGATCAGATTAGGATGGTTAGATGGAATATTATATAATGAAGTTGCACTAGAAATTTTTTTTATTAGAACCCAAATGGTGTTTACTAGTATAAATCTTGAAATAAATGCGATTTCGAGGTTTGTTTTTGTTTTACGTTACACTGGTGTTATAAATTGTCAATCAATTAATAACTAATTCATTAACGTTAAGTAAATAAATGGGTTTTCAATCGATTCTTTGTAACTAATCAATTAAATCATTAGCCGATCAGTTGCAGCTAATCGATCAGTTGGTGTCTAAAAAGTTCAGTCGATTAGATCAACTAATCGATTAATTCGATTTCGATTTGTATCACTACGTTACACTTAGTGATGGGCAAGCGCGGGATTCATCACGTGATGCTGTGGCCAATGCCATAATTCCGGTCGAAACTTACAGTAATCTTGGTAACAATCCGCGAATCCCGCGCGGGAATTTTGTCAAACCCGTGATTTGCCCATCTCTAGTTACACTGGATCCTGATTTTTAGCTCGTAGACAATGCTAAATTTCATTGATTAAATTGATTGGCTGAGGATTATAAAATAGTTTCTATTTATAGTTTTGATACGTTAAATTCTCTATATTACGGATAACGGATCTCTTGCAGTATAGATGACACCACTAATAAAATATATTATTAATTAATTGATTTAGAATAGGCGTCACCCATGCTATAAGAGGTCCCAGATAACTATTGTTACTCGAGTTCCCAGAACACAATCAATACGAAGTTAGCTTGCACTACTATAATACTGGCAAACATTGCTTAAGTATGCTCCTTCAAAATTGGGAAACGATATACATTTGTGATTTCGTAGAGAGTTTATTTAGTATATTTTCCTGCATTAAGGTTGGACTAATACAATAAAATCTTTGATTTGTATTATGTAATATTTGCATGGGGTATTAAAAAAAAACAAGCTCTTAGAACTTTCAACATCCCTAAATTCGTAATGGTGAACCATTAGGGTTATTTAAATACAGAGAATTCACCCTATATGCGCCTTTATAAACGCGACCTATATCTCAGTCTAAACCTTTAATACATGAATTGGAATTGATTTAATTGTCTAAAAAATAGGCATTCTGCAAAGTAGTACGTTGTAAAGCAATTATTATAAGTGACCCTTTTTATAATTAGGGTTAAGGCAAGTGCTATTATCGTCTTTTTTTCGTGTTATGGTTAAAATATTAGTATAATTATTCTCTATGATGCTCACCATTTATAAAGGCACCCTTTTTTTTATCTTGTTGTATTCAAATGGCGTCCGCATTTATTATAAACACTGATACAGTATAAAAATACGTGTTTTTATCTTTTTTACTAAATCATTTTCATCCTTTACCAGATTTTTTCAAAAAAATGAATAGAGGTGTCGCCAGCCAAATATCTCAACCCGTTATTAGACCACCAAATGGTCAGCGACTCCAAAACACCACCGATGCTTTTAATTCCGTTCAACAATACATAGATTTGGTGAATGGTACGGACCTGTTTATTAGGTTGCAAAGTGTAGAAATTCCACAAACCACACCAACAAATATCCAAAATGATATACTTTCAGGATCTTCCTTCATATAAATTAAACCATGCGAATAATTCTTTATTTTAAACTGGAATGAATCGATATTTGTTTATGATTATTTTTATAATCAAGAACTTTTTTTTATAATTGAAAACTTTTATTATAATTGAACACTTTTTTTATGATTTAAACCTTTTTTTATAATTAAGAACTTTATTTTTACAATTAAGAACTTTATTTTTATAATTAAGAATTTATTTTTATAATTAAGAATTTATTTTTATAATTAAGAATTTATTTTTATAATTAAGAACTTTGTTTTTGCATTAATAATTGTGTTTTTATATTAAGAACTTTGTTTTTACATTAATATATGTGGTTTTATAATTAAGAACTTTGTTTTATAATTAAGAAAATTGTCTTAATAATTAAGAAATTTTATAATTAAAAAATTTTGTTTTTATAATTAAGAAATTGTTTTAAGTTTCCCTTTTTAAATTCAGTAATAGAAATTACATATTTACGATTCTTAATTCGAAAGTTGGTCTAAATAAGAATCAACTCATGTTCGAGAATTTATTTGACAATCATAAAGTAAAATAGCAGAAATCTTTATAACAATATATTTTTCTGAGCAAAGCAATCAGATTTGTATGTAGAAAATAAAATTTAGCTTTCAGTTTAAAACAAATAAGTCAAAATACTGTTGTCATAGTAAAAAATCGGTTATTTTAATAGTATCGAGAAAATGTTGATCATGTGATTTCTGAATCGTTTATAATATGCTGAGATATGATTCTAAATATGAATGTGCAAGAATGCAAACCTGTTTCTGGTCATGGTTAATCATTATAAATTACATGTATTCTCTCCCGAGCACTCATCAGAATCACATGCGTCCTATATAATTATAAACTTTATTTAAATAATCAATAATTTCAAGGGTGGTTCGTTTTATATAATAAAAGATGGCGTCTGTGCCACCTACATCAGATTACGTGTACGATCTGGTGTAACGTGTGACCATTCTTCAAACCGAGTATTATTTTCGGTTTAAAAGAAAGAAGTATATATTAATTTCGTAAAATTCTTTTTTTTTTTGAGTATGAAGGGTAACTTTATATACAAAATTTTGAGTAAATTTTTGATTGGCTAGATTACCATTACATAATGTAATGAATAAATTTACTTATTAAAGTTTACCGAAGTTTTTGAAAAGATAGATATAGAATTTATCATGTGAAGGATTTAATATAAAAATAGGTAAGGTATTTTTAAGTTTATAACAGTTCACGTTTATGTTACACTTGATCACGCATTCTAAATTTATTGATCTGAGTATATAAATATAAATTGACCATTACATACAAAATTACATGGCCTGATACGTGCTCATAATATGTCACAACAAATAAAATAAAATGTTATATAATTTTGGAAACATTAATTTTAGTTCAGGGTTTAACAATGACATGTTATGCAAATGGATCCATATAATTTCCCTGATAAAAATTCCATTGAATTTAACCCCAATCCAACGTTAACCCTAAATCAAGTCAACTCTAAATGGGCCAACCTTAACTTCAAACTACAGCGATCTCGCCAAATTCCGCAAAAAGTCCGTAAACATTCACAAAAAAACGAATAAATAAATAAATAAATGAACGAATGAATGACTGAATGAATGAATAAATGATTGTATGATTCTATGAATGAACAAATGAATGAATGTATGATTGTATGGATGAACGAATGAGGGAATGAATGAATGAAGGATGCGAATAACCAATTAATTTATGCATTTCATTAATGTTAGCTGACGCGTCAGTTTGGGTCTCACATTCAATTAATTATCACTTTACTTTGACCTTGTTAACCTATTATATCAAACAGATGAACGCCAAGATCTTGCCATAATATTTTGTTAAAACTTTTTATTCAAATTACTTAATTTATCCGTGAGAATTCAAATATATTAAATAATTCGATTTTCTTTCTCTAGATAATATTAAGTTTAGCCTGTGAAAACTTTATAGTAATTTACAATTGTCTTGTTCTATTATATATGTAACTGATGAAAGCACAAATCTTAATTATAAATAATTAACGCCCGCCGAAAATCTGGCTTAAACACATTTGGGGTATATGAGTAGCTACGTACGTACCTCTCTAAAGTAACCCTAAATTAGATATTAAATGTATCAATTTTGGACAAGTATTACTCCAATATTCAAAAGCATTTAAATAATTTAATAACCTAATTAAGTATATAACTTATTTTAAACTAGCCACAAAAAGAAATATAAAATTTGTATAGAAACTCAATAATTGTACGCCACTTTTTCTTATACACTTGTATCCCCTGCAATTTGGAATATTTGTCGGAAGTTTCTGTTTTTAGCGAATTTGCAATTTAATTCAACGCCCATGCCCGAAATTTATGTCAGATTATTTGCGAATAAAACTAAAAGATCTCGTGTAACTTAAAATTTTTTGAGATTTTAAGGCTTGGCTTCTGAATAAATTTCAGCCCAATATTTTTAGTTATGTTTTAGTTATACAAGGGTATTTAAATATCGATCATCAAGCAATTTTATTACATAACCTGGCACATATTTTAGATGTACAGATATAACAAAGTTAGTTCGTCGTTTGTACATCGTGTATTGCCTAAATTAAACGGAAATCTCCGGTTTTTATGCATAAATTTTGATCACTAATTTGAATCGCTGTTAAAAATTAATGTATAGTTAATGTTTTGAACGAAGCAAGATCGATAAGTATTCATGTGATCTGATCCGAATACCTAATTTTGATCGATTAGAAAAACGAAAAAGGAAAAAACGAATAATCGGGCTAATGCAACTCTATTAGGAAACTATATTGACAGCCTATCTGCTTTTTTTCTTTCCAGTAAAATTACAGGCTTTTTTTGGAATTGTCGGCCGAGTCTCATTATAGAAAGCTGCAAAAAATATGTTTACTAATGAATTTCTAAAAGAACGTTGAATTATAGTCTTTCTTTACAATTTTTAGACTAATTTAAATAAGTTTGTTACCTGTTTATGGCTTTCGTATACGTCATTTCAAAGCTGTAACAATCGGAAGTTACTGCGATAATTGATACTGAAGCTGAAAGTATTTTTCTTATTTGTTACTTTAATACTTTTATTTGAATCGGATTTAATCGGCTTTAATTGGATTACTATATAGTTTTGTTCTTTCGACTTTGCCAAATGCTAAGAGTGCGTTATATATCATATTAATCATATGATAGTCTATATGTGAAAGAACGAAATTTTCAATTTAAAGCAAAAGTTTTATAATTTAAAGCCAATGAGTAAATGCGTTTAGCTTATCTATTTTATGAGGCACATCAAATTTAATAGATTCCGAGTATTAGTAAAAGATTTATATTTAACAAACTGATTTAGCTACAATAACTGTGTTTCGTGGCAAACAGTAACAATAATAACACAAAGCTATATATATGAGAATGATGCCAAAAAATAGAGCTAAAAAGACAATAATTGCAAAGAATAAATGCACTACGTCATTTAAGGTAAAAACTCAAAGAAGAAATACCACTTCTGTGCCAATTAAAAAAAAAAGAATTTTCACTTTCGCCCATTGTATTATTGTGATAGTTCTTTACTGCCATGGTTTTGTCGCAATTTAGCTTTAACTACAGTCAAACCTCCGTCATATCGCCCTTTTCTCCCAGAGTTTAGAGATGTGACTGTAGCAAAATTTAATAAAGATAGAATATTTATTCAGATAAATGGTGAGGATATAATTTATGTTGAGATATAAATGATATTTGACTATAATATTAAGTGAATACTGTAGTATTCTTCAAAACTGTCGTATGTTCGTTAATTGATACTTGAATCTTAATGATTATCAAGTTTTATATAATTTATTTAATATGATGAAACGTTCTTTTTGAAACTTACTAATTTGCGTTAGTTCTTACTTTCTCGTGTTCACATGCACGCCGGTTTATTCCAAACCAGCTTTACTAATAAATCTATATGTATGATTACATTACATTACATATTTGACAAATGTACCTCTAGTATATTCTAGAATATCTATATAATAAAATATATTAATAATCAATTGATTATATAGTAGTGTGTGCAGAAATATTATGCAATTTATATTATTAAATCCATCATTGCGTCAGTGCACAAAATTGTATGTCGATATATTCCGGAAATGTTTCTATTAAACGGAGTCTAGAATCCTCAGTTGGGGTAGTGTTATAACCAAAAGTTTTGATTGTCAAAAAAATAACGTGTTAACGAAACGTATAACATAATCAAGTAACATAAATATTTTTGCGCTGTACGCCCGTGGTACAGAAAATCCCTCTGGGCATTGTCTACGAGGCGTAGATTAGAGTTGTGACCCGAACCTTTCCGAAACCTTCAAAATAAGAATGTTCATAACTAATGCATATTTACTACAAAGTAGCCAAAACATTTCTGAAATACAATCTAATTATTATTTATTTTATATCTTAAAGCCTAAAATTAAATTTCTGAGCTTTCACTATAGTATTAGAGTTTCAGAAAAGGTTTCGGGTTTCGGTTTTAGGATTTTTATATATAGTTTCGGGTTTCGGTCATAACTAGAGAAGTGTGAATGCATATTTTTTTGGCTCTGCATTGTATAATGCAGCATAATACAACATGTAACATTATGCATTCATGGTGTCCCACCAAAATCAAGAAGCAAGATTCATATCCAATAGATCCAATCTTTCCCATCCTCAGACAGAAGTTTACTATTTTATAGTCTATTCAATCCTCAATAATTAATCTGCTTTATACAGATGAAAAATCACTAACAGATGCTACATATCATTTAGTATTACGCATGATATAAAATATAATATTTTATTGATTTTTGTTCCATTAAAATTATATAGTAATGTGCAATTTTAAATTTTAAAATATCTACATTACATTATGTGACATTATGTTTGCATAATGTAATGCACATAATGCAGAATGCCTATCTCTAGTCATAACTCTAGTGTAGATCTTTGTAAAATCAGAAAACGGTGAAATATTTTATGTCACACATCATATGCCATTGTATCAGAATGTGTTCGGAAGCAAATGTCGAATAATTGTTCTTTTTAGTCCATTCCATATATAGAACTTCTTGACGAAAATTCTTTTTTGGCCTCTTATCTCTTGATTACGTATTATGTTTAGAAACGCCATTTTGTGCATATTATGCAAAAAAAGAATCTGCCAAGCATAATGCATGATTATTTGCAACTTCAACTGTTACATTCATGCATACATTGTAAGCACTAACGTAGTACCTCGGATGGGAATCGGTCCCGATTCAGAAACTGGACAGGCCGGACAATAATTTGATACTTTTAGCCCAAACTATAAGAACTAAATTAAAGTTTTCTTCTTTTATTCTAAACCCTAATTCTAGCCTTAATTCCAACCCTAAGTCGTAATTCTGCGAAAAATTTTACAAAATTCCCATTCAAGTAGCCAGATTCTGAATCGGGACGATTTCGATCTTTGGTAACAACGTCTACATCTCTAGTTCACGTGCTCTTGATCAATTCAGCAACTGAGTTGCAGAAAATATAATTCAAAATCTTTCTTCAACATCTTTTTAATATTATCTATCAAATAGAATCCGATTATATAATTATGTATAGTAGTTTTAAGTTGAAACCCTTTTATAAAATCTCTAACTCTACTTGTTCACTCTTGAATTGTTATCAGTATTGCTTTGTACATGTTATATTCATCACAGCATGCAAAATACTAGTCTAAAAATTTAGGAAATCAGATTTCGAGATTGTGTGTAACGTTAAAAAGTTCAAAAAACAAAAATAAGTCAAAATCTCCTATGCAACTGCTTTCTGCATACTGATAAAAAGTTTTTCTTATGAAATTTTAGTATAAACATAGGTTTTTAAATCCAACTCACTAGAATACCTTATACTTAACCTAAGAGTAAACCATTTTTTTTTAGCAAAATTAAAGGATATAAAATAACAAATTTGTTAATAGAATTTATCTAAAGTTAATAAAGTATGGTTTTTTATAAAATTAAAATGCATATAAGATGTATACATAATTCATATAGAATTTAAACTTACTGTACCTTCTTTACAAAAATCAATAAAATTTGAATTACTAAAAATTAGCTTTTTAAAAGTGCTGATAAAGTACTAATTTTTGTTAAATTTTGTATTTTCTTAGTACTTTGTTCCTATTATTTTAGTATAAAAAAATATTTGCAAATTATTATAATAATAAATTGCTAATATTTGCAATATATTAGCAAAATATTAGTAATCATAAAAAGCTAAAAATTATTAATAAAATAGGTAGTTAATAGTATTAATAAAGCAATAATTTTGTAATAAATTTATAAAAATACTAATTTAATACTAATAAACTACTTTATTTTGTTTATATTTTGCTAAATTTTACAATTTTTAAATTTTTAAATTTTTATGAAATACTATTATAAAGCTTGATTATACAAAAGTAAAACATTATACTAGATATATAAAATAATTTAAATAATAATAAAATAGATAATAAAGATAAAAATATTAAATTTATTGCAGCAAATATAATTAGCAATGTATATAAGTTAAGGTTATTAGTCATATTACATGTTAACAACATATCATTATCTAAAAAAATTTAGTTTACTTTAAAAACTTGTAGAAAAATGAAAAAATTAATTTAAAAATCAATTATTAAACAGAAAAAATAATAAAGATGAATCTTTATAATAAATTATTTATATACATTATAGTTATAAACTATTAATAAATATAAAAATAAGAATCTATTTCAAGTTAAATTTTTTACTCTATATTCATATAATGTTAAAGCCATTTAAATCAATTACAATATGTATTTTTAAAAAAATATATTAATTATTTTATGAATTATTGTAACTCTAAGTTTAAAAATTATTAATTATTTCTTTTTAGTTTATTTGATATTTTATAATAAAAAGAAGTTTACAATTTAAACAAAGGTAAAACTTTTAAAAGATTAGTTAAGCTAATTTTAATCATTAAATTAAGTAATATAAAAACAGCTATTAAGCAAAAACAAAATAAGTAGCTATTAATAAATTTTGCATTAATTGAATTACTTATGAATATTAATTTTGTCAGATCTAAACTAATAGCTTTTTATTAATTATATATCTATATGCATAAAAAATATTTACTATTACAATATGTAATGCTATACTTTTACTATTTATTATAATTAATTTAATAAATTTTTATATTTTTATAATTATAATATATACTAAAAAGAATTTGATATTAATAATTTATTACCAAATAGCTTTTTTTGTATATTTTAATCTTTTAGTTATTGCAAAATATTTTAATATTATTATTTAAAATATTTTTAGTAATATTATTAGTTATAATTAAAAATGTAATAGTGTATTTAAATTTATAAAAAATTATTATAATGTTGTTGAGTATTGGAATTATAGAACACCTTATTGTTATTTATATATATAGCTATATAATATATCTGATTTAATTTTATTGTATTAAAGATTAATAAGTAATATAAAGTTTTATTAAAAATTATTACTATATTTTAGTAATATTATATATGAAGATATTAGTTACTAAAAAACTCTTTCTGCAAATCCATTGCACAAAAATTAACTAAACAATTTGTTTATCAATAAATGCTTATAACTATTTATTTTACTAAAACAATCTATTCTAGTGTCTTAGGTAAACATGTTCAGCTCAGAATTATATATATATTTTGCAAATATTATAGTTCTAGCTTTTAAACTCATTGAAAAATCTGTATTGACAGCTTTTGGCCTCAATTTTAACAATTAATTTCTTTTTGCAATTTCTACTATAATAACATATCTTTTATTCTTAATTAAAGTTATAATACATACTTGCCTGATCAAAACAAGCTCTAAATGAAGAATTTTGGCCTAATATTAGCCAAATTACAACAAATTTTCTTTTTTACTCTCTTGTAAAACTTTTTCTTTCTTTTATTTTTGTTCTTACTTGCTTCTTTTTTCTCTTACATATTTTTTATATAACCATACTATCATTTCCCAATTCATACTTTATTAATTTATACAAAAATTTTCTATAACCTATTTATAAATAGAAATTCATTCAATATAACTTAATTATTTTCATATTTGGTTCTTATTAATAATATACAACAATCTATACTGCAAATCTTATTTGTATATAGTACCCAAGTTATATCAGTGACCTCTACTATTCTAGTTACATCCTGTGTTATTCCAGTGACTTCTCAACTATACAATCCCTGTTTTTAATTACTATCTTTACAAATTAATTATTTGATTTTAATTTTAACTTAAAAAAACTTCTTAAGTTATTATTACATTACCTATTTACTTATTTATATTTCAAAAATGCTTACATTAATCAACCTAGAGCCAGATACAGCAGACCTTAACTACTTCTACCAAAACTTTCCTAACAATTTTGAAATTGACTCTATGAAGAAGAAAGTAGCAACAATACTCATCCAATCCCTCCTAAAGTCAAACCTACTGCTTGTTTAACTAAAAACCTTAGATCTAACAAAATTACTCATTTCTTCTAAACTCCTTCTTTCACTTTTGTGATTACTTGTCTCTGTGGCAAATATTATATCAAATTTATCTCACCTATCAATACTAATCATATTTAAGCTACTAAACTTACTACAATTCATATTAATAGCAACTCAAAAAAAAATCTAAATAGACAAACTCAATAACTTATAACC